AGGTCTACTAGAATAGATTTATATTGTGCAATTTTCCAAACTCACATTGGTTTCTCATACAGCATCTCTGTAAACTGTGTATTCACTGAATTTCACTCTGCCTTTAACGGCTGGTTGTAGCTCCAATAGCTCCAGCCCCCACCCTCCCTGTCAGCACAGTGTGCTCTGATTGGTCGGGACGTTGAGAATCGCGCTGAGCTCCGTGGAGGTGTTGTTTCCTTGTTTAGCGATACACAGCGAAACACAGCCTGAGCACACACAAAGTCACAGCCGAAGTAAAAACAATAAGTGTGGCTTGATATTGAGTAAGCAAAAGGTTGATAAACTCTGTGAGAATGGGTCTGCAGAGAGAATTTCGCCGCGATCCCAACTGTCTGTTATCAGCCTGCAGCCAGGGAGGAGAAATCAGCAGAGCTGCCTGCACTGAGTGTGTGTGTGAGGAAGTCCGTGGATTGGTCAATTTGGACCAATCAGCGGGGGCTTAACGTAACGGCTCCCGGACGTGACGTAACGTAACGGCTCCACCGATTGGTCCATTTCGATCCGGGTACGGTTGACATCATGCGTACCCGGAAGAATCAAATGGACAGTGACGTATCTCCAACGAGGCGTTTTGGGGAGGTATTTTCTGTGTTAGAGTTTTACTCCCTACAGGGTGTACTTTGAGGGTTTTGACTCTGCAGACCGTTTACATGCAGAAAAACCTTCATAACACACAGGGGGACGGGTAATAACCAGAAAAGCATGACATGGGACCTTTAACAGTTCATCATGGCTGCCAAATGTGTGGATTGATTCAGCAGACTGTATTTCCCAGACTCTTCACCTTCAGTGTCGTTTTAAAAGAACGTGTTCTATGACACAGACTCAAAGGTCAGTACTTCAAAAGGTATAGCAAATTAAGAATTGTATATTTAGCCAGCCCGAGTCCATCAAAAATGAGCGAGACTATGCAAACAAATCTTGGCTGCTTGACATTTGACAATCCACTCCTAACTTGTGGCTGAAGAAACTCACTTGATTTACATTTTGCTTCCCAGGTATGCTCGAACTGCCGGCCCAAGCTCACCTGCTGCCCCACCTGCCGGGGGCCCCTGGGCTCCATCAGGAACCTGGCCATGGAGAAGGTGGCCAACTCGGTCCTCTTCCCCTGCAAGTACGCCTCGTCGGGCTGCGAGGTCACCCTGCCCCACACGGACAAGACGGAGCACGAAGAGCTCTGCGAGTTCCGGCCGTACTCCTGCCCCTGCCCCGGGGCCTCCTGCAAGTGGCAGGGCTCCCTGGACGCTGTCATGCCCCACCTGATGCACCAGCACAAGTCCATCACCACGCTGCAGGTCAGACTTCTCATTCAGCTTCTTTTACTCACTGAGAGTCATGAAGGTGCACGGTGACGTTTGTCAAAGCAAAGATGAGACCTTTAACAAATTAGTCAAAGGGGATATTTGCTTCACAACACAATGAAAGAGTGACTTGTTCGAGGTTACTCCTTAGTAAATGTCAATCATCAATACAGGTGTCCAAATTAAACTGTGGAGGATTTGATCATTATAGCTATCATTTCTAGTTAGCTTTTATCACTAGCCAAACTCCGGCTCTACGAAAATCTTCTAATATTGTTTGCAATTCCTTAGTTGTAAGAGCTCAGTCTGCTCCTTTATTTCAATCTGGCACTAACTCCCAAAAATGAGGAAGCATCAGTGTGAATTTAATTTCAAGTCAAAAGGGCACTCGTAATTGATATCAAAGTCAGTTTATTTGACAGTCTTCTCTCGGTCTGGAGAGAAAATAACCCTGCTGATGATGTCATCCCTCTGTCATCCCTCCTTTGGTAGCTACTAATGTATTCCTCCAAGCTAGAGCATTGTTAGAAATGTAGGCTCTCACTCGGAGTGACTCCCCCCTGCTGCTTTGATGTTGTCCTCTTTTTTTATTTCTCAATGCGTTTCAAACACGTCATTAATTTGTTCCCCTTTTTAAATAAAAGACACCAAACCAGTTGGCCTTTTCAATCACACTCACCCCTATGACATCACTAAATCTACCAGCACACTGGGATAATACATGGAGAGTGTGATAAAGAACTACTTTAATGTCTGCTCTTATTTAATATTGTTCCAGTGAATTCGGGAAAATAATCAGTCTAATGTAAAAAATAAGCATTGTTGGTTTCCATGTGAAAGTAGATGAAGATGATACACTTTTTCATACAGCACTTTTCCTAACAATGGTTTACAGAGTTATTCTCAAACAGCTCTGAGGTTTAGAGACAGTATTGTAGCGTTGGGACACGATGACTGAACCCTGTTTTTGCGTGTGTCCTTCAGGGGGAGGACATAGTGTTCCTGGCCACGGACATCAACCTGCCGGGCGCCGTGGACTGGGTGATGATGCAGTCCTGCTTCGGCTTCCACTTCATGCTGGTGCTGGAGAAGCAGGAGAAGTACGACGGCCACCAGCAGTTCTTCGCCATCGTGCAGCTCATCGGGACCCGCAAGCAGGCGGAGAACTTCGCCTACCGGCTGGAGCTCAACGGGCACCGGCGCCGCCTCACCTGGGAGGCCACGCCGCGCTCCATCCACGAGGGCATCGCCACGGCCATCATGAACAGCGACTGCCTGGTGTTCGACACGTCCATCGCACAGCTGTTCGCAGAGAACGGCAACCTGGGGATCAACGTCACCATCTCCATGTGCTAAGAAAAACTTTGCAGAAAAAAAGAGGGTCAAAAAGTTACAGATTGTCCGGGGGGCATTTTTTTAAGGGGGGGTCAAATTCGTTGTGACTTCACAGCGTCTCCTCCCACCCCCTTTCTCTGTCTCACCCCTTGAGACGTGGAACTGGACTGTCTGATCGGGCAGCCAAGGGGTGGGGATGGATGGATGGAGGAATGGAGGAATGCATCAACACGAGGAAAAAAAACTGTGTAGTGATGGACTTCTAAACATATATATGTGAGACGCATGCACGCACATGCAGGTCCCGCCCTCTCTCGGTCACCACACACAAACTGACGAGCTGTTCAGTCAAACACCGCGTTAGTCGCTGTCTACTTCCCCTCCGTTATCCTCTGACATTTTACACACTACAGCCCCGCCCTTCTCTCAGAGACGCTCCGGAACGTGCCGTGGCGGATTCACACTGAGGAAGGCTCAAGCTATATCACAACACGGACTCCCGGTCAGTACGGTCTAACACCCCCCCCCCGCTGTTTGTATTCAAACTCCCTCTTGGATTAAACGCTCCACACCCGTGTCTTCATCTATTAGCGCCCGGGATATCGCAGATTTGGGATGTTTATCTCCACCTGTGATTGGACGGCTGTAGCACCCATAGCTACCCAGTTATGTGCCGGACTGCAGACGCTCCACAGATCATCCGTCACCCGCTCCACCCGAGGCTGAAGATTGTGACGCTCTTTAAATAGTAGATCGCCGTCGTTGCTAGTTATTCCTCCCGCTCTCACATGGTATGGATTTAGGAAAGCCCCGCAGCTACACCGGCCCTGGATTATAAAAGAAAATAATACTTCATGGGAGCGGACGGGTAAAAGAGGAAAACACACCCTGCATTACAGGCTGCTGTGGATGAGTTGATCGCGTGTTGGAGCATTTTGACCGAGGATTGGAGGGGTCCTTTTTTTTTTTCAGAACAAGGAAAGAAAAACATTTCAGTTGAGTCAGTTTTCTTTTGGGGTTTATTTTTGGAGTCTGTTGTTTCTTTTTAATTATTTTAGTTGTCTTTTTTTTGTAAGAGAGGAGAGAAGAACTCCTGATATGTATGTATGTGTATGTGTGTGTTGTGTGTGTTGTGTGTGTGTGTGCGAGATGGACATGTGGCAAAACGCCTGCTCTCTCTCTCCCTTCTCGCTCTTTCATTTCTCCTCTGCCTCAACCACTGATGACTGAACACCCAACCAGGAACGAGGGACAGTTTCTATCGTTACAATGTTGCTATTGTTATTATTAAATGGGGATTATCATAATTATCATTTTTTGTAACGACTTTTAAAAAAGAAAAATTTAAAGGCAGTTGTAAAACTTGTGGCTAAACTTCAGTGTTTGTAGTTAAAAAGCAAGTTGTGTTGTTCTTCTGACGGTTTGTGCCCCCCCACCACACCCCCGCAACCGAGTTGGATTGTTTTTTCCTCATCTATTTGTCTCTCCGTCCTCTTGTTTGTGTGGTAAGTCTTTTCTTTTTCTTCTTATGTCTGAGGGAGGGAAGTCAAGCCAATCATCTCCCTTTCTCCTCATGTGGAGTCTCAGTAATGTCGCTGCTCCCCATCAACTCCCTGACTTTTTTCTGTTTTAATTTGTCATTAAATAAATCTATCTTTTTCATACCTGGTGACTTTCTTTATTTTCTTTTTATCGCAAGCCTCAGTTCATATGTATGGCTGCATATGTTGTTGTCGTATAGCGGTTCACATTCTACGGCTGGTTAAGGTAACAAGAAAAAAATCTAGTTTAAAAAAATAAATACAATTCTATGCAACAAATGCCAGTTCTGAAAATGTAAGGCCATGCAGAAGTTCTTTTAAAATGTGTGTTGCTGCTATGACACCTACATGTCCCTACTGTAGACTACCTGTTGTAAGAGGATTGTATAGAAGTCTGTGAAAGGTTGAGATAATGCACAATACAATAATACACTTCAGGGAGATTGCACATTTCAGCGAGTGGGACCTACATGACAGGATTAATCCAAAGCAATGTTTTTTTTTCTTTCCCAAGGGTGTGTGTGTGTGTGTGTGTGTGTGTGTGTGTGTGTGTGTGTGTGTGTGTGTGTGTGTGTGTGTGTGTGTGATATTTCAAGGCTGTTCCTTTTGAACCACACACTCTCTTACCTAGGTCAAATTAACACCTCCACACTGTTTGATTTTGAATTGATTACAGCTGAAACAATTAATTCCATTGATAGGAAAAAAAAACTTAATTTTATAAGGTGAAATTTAAAAAAAAGGACTCTTAATTCAAGCCTATCTTTCTTTGTGATTGACAACTAAATTGAAGCTAAACCATTTTTGAATTATAAAAGTTCCTGACAGATTAATATACACTGAACAAAAATATAAATGCAACACTTTTGTTTTTGCTCCCATTTTTCATGAGATGAACTCAAAGATCTAAAACGTTTTCTACATACACAAAATAACCATTTCTCTCAATTATTGTTCCCAAATCTGAAAAAATCTGTGATAGTGAGCACTTCTCCTTTGCCGAGATAATCCATCNGTGTGCCTTGGCAGTCTCAGATCATTAATAAGCTTTTATAAGACATGAGATAAATAGGGCAACTGTGACCGGTTGCTTGCCAAATAGTGAGCCCACATGTATCTGTACTGCTAAGCCTTATTATAAAGGGTAGTAACTCATTAATAAATGGGAATGTGTCTCACACTTTACAATAAGGCTCTCTTTTGGCAGTTATTAATTTTAGTAACTCGTAAATAAATGGTCATAAAGAGATACCAAGAAACATCAAGATGGAAGGGGGGAGATTCAACTCAGTGAACAACAGTATCTGTTGTTTACTGAGTTCAAGGATGCTGGCTGACGAAGAACACGAAGTAAGCTAGGTAGCCAATATAAGGCTTAGTCATCTTGCCAAATAGTGAGCCTGTGTTGATGTACGAAAACTATGTTAGAACTGGTTTATAAATGGTTCTTAATGATTAATAAAGTGTTTACAACCTAATTAATAACCTCGTTATAAACCTTTATGAATCCTTTATAAGGGTAGTCTTTTTGCACTACTTTTTATTGTATTATATATGTTGGATTGTTGGAGGCTTGCGTTTGAACATTACGATGAAGCTCAGCTGTGTTCCAAGTTTGCCCGTAAGTCTTTAACAAACTAAATTCTAAGTCTAAATCCATCCAGCGCACCATTTTGCAGGAATTTCAAGCGTAGGAACGGGAGCCCTTCTGTACCAACAGTGTGGGAAAAGTCTGATTAAAATACACAATATGTTAGAATTCATCAGCGACACTATGTTTTTAACCTCATTACTCTGTTGGAGGTCAGGTCAGAACANTATAAATCATTAATAAGCTTTTATAAGACATGAGATAAACAGGGCAACTGTGACCGGTTGCTTGCCAAATAGTGAGCCCACATGTATCTGTACTGCTAACTTAGCAGTACAGATACATGTGGGCTCACTATTTGGCAAGCAACCGGTCACAGTTGCCCTGTTTATCTCATGTCTTATAAAAGCTTATTAATGATTTATAAAGTGTTCACAACCTAATTAATAAATGAATTACAAAGTCTTATTGTAAAGTGGTACCAAAAAGTCTATATACATGTAAATAGAATATGATATGTATACTTCCTGTTTGTCACGCCTGTCCTCTGTGCGTCAGTTTGCCAGCGCTCTGGGGACCTACATGCACGGTCAGTGCATCAGCGACCTGAAGGTGTGGACGAGTCACATGAAGAGGACCATCCAGACCGCCGAGGCTCTGGGGGTCCCGTACGAGCAGTGGAAGGCCCTCAACGAGATAGACGCTGTGAGTTTCTTTGTGATTTTGCATTCATTTTGGGTACACAAACGTTTATGATACTTCCAAGTTTCGTTCAGCAGAATAATCTCCACAAACAAACGTGCACTTAAGGACAGTTAAAAAAGACGAGTTGTGTTATAAGAATGTTTTTATATTAAATGTCCACAGCATGTACTCTTTTGTTCATAGTTTGTATCATTTTGCAAACATGTATCCACTGTCTCCTTGTTTGAGTATGAAGGGGTGAGAAAATGAGTTAAGTGTGTGTTTTATTTTTAACGTGTGTGTGAGAGACTCTGCTCAAACCAGCCACCCCCATCGCTCGAACAACACCCCACTGCCACATGAAGTGATTTGTTCCTGTGTTGTGCCTCAGGGTGTGTGTGAGGACATGACGTATGAAGAGATTCAGGAGCATTACCCAGAGGAGTTTGCACTGAGGGACCAAGACAAGTACCGCTACCGCTACCCTAAAGGAGAGGTGAGGACGGAGGGTTTGATGAACTAGACAAGGGTCTGAATGTTGTCCTTGTTGTAGTTCTATATGTGTGATTGTAACTCATGTTCCAGCTGCAGCTCAAACTATGCTCCAGTATGTTCCCGCCTCTGAAGTCCTGGTGATTGAATGTTTGTTGTGTTATCACCATGACTGCGGTGTGCAAATGAGTGATGCCCTCAGGAGTCTCTGCTGACGAGTTAAAACACAAGAGGCTTCATTATTACAGGAGAATGTTCTCAAGGATGAGACAAAACATTGGACGACAAAATCTGAAGGAGAATTTAGTTTTTCTATTTCATTGAGACACGATATAAAGAATCGATTCATTTAGGATGAAATTAAAAGGAAAAATATGCGTATAAGTATTTCAATTGGTGAAAAACCCTCCAAAACTCAAAGATATTCATTAAACAATAACAAAAAACAGGGTAAGTTTTGAAAATATGGAACCAGTAAATGCATTTTAACTTGATGATTGTCTTAACCGATAGTTTGACTATTAAAATGTGTTTTTGGTATCTTTTATGATAGAAAGTTTGAAGTCATACATATCAAAACATCCTAGTAAATAGAATACAAACAAACACGTTTACTTCTCATGTTCAAAACCTGCAAACATCTAATTCTGTCTAAAGACTAATGATAATTATTTCAACACTTATTTTCTGTTCTAACAGTGTTTTTGTGTTGGCACCACAGTTTGAGTTTAACTGACTTTGTGTGGACAGTTTTGACATCTCTCTCTCTCTCTCTCTCTCTCTCTCTCTCTCTCTCTCTCTCTCTGTGTGTGTGTCAGTCGTACGAGGACCTGGTGCAGCGTCTGGAGCCGGTCATCATGGAGCTGGAGCGGCAGGAGAACGTTCTGGTCATCTGTCACCAGGCCGTCATGAGATGTCTGCTCGCCTACTTCCTCAACAAGACTGCTCGTGAGTAGTGATGTGAAAAATTATCAAACAAATATTTATAGTTTCAGGTATGTCCTGGTACACCTGACAAACGTCCAAGTGGTCATGAATCCACTTCTTAACAGCAAGAAAGATAGAAAGACTAGACAGACTTTCATGCTGTTGATTACATGATATGGGTATATGTATTTCATACTACTGTATCTGTATAGAGATGTAACTGTCGTTTCTCCCTGTGTGTCAGACGAGCTGCCCTACCTGAAGTGTCCTCTGCACACGGTGCTCAAACTCACACCTGTCGCCTACGGTCAGTCTCTCAATTATTTCCTCACACATTCACAACCACGATGTATAAACTCCTTAATGACCCCGCCTCTCTTTGTCGATGTTTGTCTTTTGCTCTCAGGTTGTAAAGTGGAGTCTGTTTTTCTAAACGTTGAAGCTGTCAACACACACAGAGACAAACCAGTGGTAATTCATTTTTCACAAACTTGTAGACTAGAGGGACAGGTAGATTACTCAAAGATAATGAAAATGTAAGTAGTTGCAGTAATATTAGATAATGAAGTGAGATTTCACAGTAATTTCTTTTCCTGGGTTTAAAATGTTATCCTGTCCCTACGATCACACTTCTTGATACATTAGAACATGTATTAAGATAATAAATGTGTTAGTGCTAATAGTCAGTCCACAGGTCTGATTCAAGCTTATCAACCAATGTGTGCCCAAACACTATATTTGGTACAAATGTGATCAATTCAAACTAGTTTTCTCCCTTTGGTTAATTTCAACTAATGAAGTTATCGTTAGCTTGCAATGCTATGCTTTCACAGAAGCTTCCCTAACGCTGTGTCTCGTCTCTTGTTGCAGAACGTGGATGTGGACAGAGAGCCGGCGGAGGCTTTGGAGACGGTCCCGGATCACATCTAGAGGACGACACGGGGGAACTGGTTTAATTTCCATCCACCTTAATGGAAAGTGGCCTTTAATTTAAGTAATACTAGTGTTCATTGTTACCCGGGTAATTGTTGTGAAATGTAAAATCATTGTGACATATGAAATGACACATTTCTCCGATGGCAGCCTATTTCCATTGTAAAGCCTTTTATAATGCAGGTTCCAGACGTCTGGTATGAAGAAGAGGAGACTTCCTTTACTGTGAAAGTGAACTACTGCGGGTCAGGTGACCAGGATCTCTGTTTGGATATTCGTGAACATGCATGTCTGTGTCCCTCATTTCGCATTTCCTCCTCCCTACTTGTAATAATACATCAGGAAACTTTAAATCGCCCAGTCACCTCTTCATGTCCATCCGACCACTTCACATCGTGTTATCATGTGTCTCACAGAGGTACATCATATGAGAATCCAAACGACTGGAAAGCAGCAGTTCTTTTAACACACAGTGGTGCAAACAGGAAGTAGGGGGTTTGGTAACAATGTAAAATAATACTTTAAAGAGAAATATGTGGAAGTAGTTCAACATTTTGATAAATTAACGTATTCACTTTCTTGCTGGGAGTTAAAGGAGATATACCACTCTCATATCTGTGCACTAAATCTGAAGCCAAGGAAACACTTAGCAAGGTTATCACAAAGCCTGGCAATCTCACAGCAAGGATATTAGTATTCAGTTTCAGTTTGTGATTAGGGAGATTGTATCACATTTATTGACACACAAATTAAATGCTGTGTATCCTTATGGTCATGTTAACCTTATTTGTATGCCTGCTGGCCGAGCCTCATATCTAACATACAGAAATAAGAGGGGTGTCGTCATCTCAACGAACTCTTGGCAAGAAAGTGAACAAGTCCAAACTATTCCTTAAACTAGGATTGGCTTGTTCATCGGAGTCATTTCGTATCCTGTCTAAATCAACAAAAGGTGCAGATCCCACTGGTAATTATAACCAGGGCGTGGTGTTCGTGCGACAGTGGAAAGATCATTTGTCACGGTGTTCTGGTTTTAATATGATCATTTAAAGGGACATTTGGCACTTTAACTGCCCAAATACCGTGATGTGCCTCACATGAGTTAAATATGATTATGCTATGCACCCTCACTGGACACACACACACTGGAGGCAGAGGCACAGTGTGTGTGTGCTGTTTATAACTGACATTGGTCATTTTATTAAGATACATGAGGGACTCTGGTGCAATATAGTGTTTTTAAATTGGTTTACATGGACCTAAGGTCAAGTTCTGGCGGCCTGTATCACAAAGCACGTTAAATATATTTAAATATACTAGTGGTTAGCGCTCAAACACATTGTATGTGATTAGGTTAAGGGGCGGGACATCTCTAAGAGGTTGACCAATCACAACAGAGCCGGCTAGCTAACCAATCAGAGCAGACTGGGCTCTGGTTTCAGACAGAGGGTGAAAAGAGGTGCTGCAGCACAGACAGCATGAGAGAAATAAAGAGCTTTTTGAACATTAAAGCATGAGACATGTCCCAGTAGAGACGCTACATACTGATGAGCAGAATAGAAGGCCTTTAAACATAACCAGCTAACTAACGGTAAGCTCTGTGATACAGGCCTCCGGATTTGAGCTCATTTCTGTCACCTGGAGGACCAATAGAAAATACAATCTTCTCAGGGGCCTTTGTTTTATTTAAATGCCACCACATGAAATAAAGTGTAAATAAATGCATGTACTTATTTCAACACAATGTGAAAAGTGTCTTAGTCAGAAATCTAGGATTTAAAAGTGATCCCTTTTTAAAACCCATGTTCAGTTTGTAGCAGATTCAATGTCACATCTGTACGTGTGTGCTTTGTTCAGGGAAACTGTATCCACGTCACCGCTTTTTCAAACTGCTCTTATCGTCCATTGTTGTGCAATTGTGCCCGTGTGTGTCCTGAGCTCTGTAATAGGTAGCTGCGATGTCGAAGAGTTACACGTCGTCTTGTCTAACAGCCATGAGCGTATGTGAGAAAAATGAATGAAAAGTCCAAATAAATGCAATCATTGATCAAACACAAAATCTTTTATTTTCTGAGCGTGAACAAATAACTGGTACCTTTTCAAAGTACAGGCAATAAAAGCCTGAATATTGTGTGTGATGTTAAATGTGATCCTATTTGAAAATGAAATTGAAACTCAACAGCCTACAAAGGTGACGTATGAATATACAAATATATAAAATATTAAATAGAACTCGGAATGGATTTGACTGTTGAGTTTAAACGGACTCCAAGGCGTTGCAAAACTGCAAACAAAAAATATGGTGACACAGATGCAGTTCTGTCTTTCAGCACCATCATTCAAAATAAATAAATTAAAAAGGTAATACTATAGAAGTTATCTCTGGCTGCTGGTGCTGGGCTGTGTGGAGCTGGGCTGCGTGGAGCTGGAGCTGTGAGCCTCTTGGTACTGCAGACTCCAGCTCTGAGGGTCCTGTTCATGGAGCTGAAATCACACAACACATCTTGGTTAGCGGACAAATACTCAGCCAACTTTAAATCACCCTTTCACCTCTTCCTGTCCATCTAAACCACTTCATGGTGTCTCCACATTCACAGAGGTACATCATATGAGAAACCAAACGACTGGTAAGCAGCAGTTTAACACACAGTGGTGCAAACAGGAAGTAGGGGCTCACCGTGCTGTTTGGTAACAATGCAAAATAATACTTTAAAGATAAATGTGTTTAAGTAGTTCAACATTATAACTAAACACTTTCTTGCTGAGAGTTAAAGGACAGATAACACTCGCACATCTGGGCACCAAATATGAAGTCAAGGAAACAGCTAGCTTAGCTTAGCACATAGTGTAGACGGGGAAACAGAGGACTGCCAAGGCACAC